TTGAGGAGGTCTTAAAATAAGACTTAGTCTTAGAACAAGATCTGAATCGTCTCTGGCAAATTAATGTCTTCATAGTCCAGCTTGCCTTCTGTAAAACTATTTGGTTTAGTGAGCATTTGTGATGTGCCACGTATCAGTGGATCATATATCTGAAAGCATCTAATATGGTAGACTACTAGACAATACTAGTCTTCTGAAACTCTACATTATTTCACAATTATCCTTAGAGAAACCCTACGAGATAAGTAATCTTCTCATTTTACAACTAAAGAAATTGAGGATAGAGTTAGCCAGAGGTGATAGAACTGGATTCCAATTTATATCTTTCTAATTTTAGAGCAGACTTTCTTTCTACTACACCAAGCTTCTACTACACCATGTTTCTTGGGGAAAACAACTCTTGCATTTGCACATACCAAAGTAAAGATAGGAAGACAACTTAGGTAACACACAATGGAGAAGCCATCTCTGTAAATAACTGTGATGCTTACTGTTGCATGGCCATGATTCTGAAGTTCTTTGTTAGAACCTGTGCATGCTGCATTCATTTTTGTTTTTCAAATCCACAGGTGTCTGAAGAACTACTGGTATGTTTGCTACCTCTTTGCCGTGGGACTAGACGGGCTCTGCTATCTCTGCCTCCCAGTGCTTCAAAGTCTCCCCTTGCTCGTGCCTTTCTCTTGTACCTTTGGTTATTTTGATGGTGCCTACGTGACCTTGATCCCAGTAGTGACTGAAGAAATAGTGGGGACTGCCTCTTTATCATCAGCGCTTGGTGTGGTGTACTTTCTTCATGCAGTGCCATACTTGGTGAGCCCACCCATTGCAGGTCAGTTTCCAGAGAGAACCTCCAACCACCTCTTCCCTTTCTTGTGTTAGTGTGAAAAAAGTGAACCTACACAGGGACAATGAGAAGAGTTGGGGAAGAGTGAAAACAATAAGGAATGCAAGAGCTACCAAAAATATCATGTTCTCACCTACATCCTTATTTTATAATCTTCTTCCAACTTCAGTCTACGTAAAAGAATAAGTCCCATATAACAGTCTTGATTTTGTTCTACACCAGTGATGGGAACAATGAATTGTGGCAGTTGTTCAGACTTAAAAATAAGTAGGGCACATTCACAGGGAAGTCTGGCGGAGTACAGGATTCTAATAGGAGACAGTGGATGGTGAGGCTGAAATGATAAGTGTGAGTGTTAGTGGAGTGTCTTGAGTGCCAGGCAAAGGATCTGGAGCTCTTTATTCTTCAGGGCTTATGATAGTATTAAGGTTTTTGTGCAAAAGGCTAATATGATGTAGAGTGTATTTTAGGAAATGTGATCTAGCAATAGAGCTAGTAATTTAGGGGAGAGGCAGTTAGAATTCCATTCGAAAAGTCCAGGAGCAAACTGACAGAGGCTTAAAATTGGGCTGCTGCCACAGAAACAGAAATGAGATCTAGAGGCAAGGAGGAAGTTTTAGAAAAAAATATATCAACTGAATTTAGCATATGGAGGTGAAGGAGAGAAAGGAGTCAAAGACGACTGAGAGAATAATGGCATGGTTGAAGGAAGTAAAGAAGTTGGCTTTGCAAAAAAGTAATTAATTTAATGTTTTATACATATTGAGATATCTGAAATATGAAAAAGCCCTACAGGCAATTTAAGGATGAAATATGAGCTTTAGAGGGAAGCCAGACTTGGATATACTGCTTTGGGAGTCATCAGATTAAGCTTCTAGAGTGTTTTGTAAATGGTAAAATGCTGTAGAAATTTAAGGCATGATTAAACAAGTAATTCAACAAATAATACTGCATGCATTACATATTAATTCAGTAAATATTTATTGCATGCATAAAACAAGTAATTCAAGAAATATTTATTGCTTGTATACACCAGCCATTGTGCTTGGCACTGGGATACAACAAACACATCAAAACCTGTTCCTGCTTACTTTGTGAATGTGGT